ATTTCTGTGAGACTGCTCCCAAAGGTCCTATTCGGTGGGCACGTTGCCTTACAACGGCCCACGTGTGATCACCTGCTACATGTCTGTAGCGACATGCTCCCCGCTTATAGCGCGCCACTACGGCAACGTAGCAAGCAAATCTAAGCCTGCGCCGCCCGCATGGCACGGTACGGACCCTAACTGCACCAATGTTAGCTCTTCAAAAAGGAAATGCTGAAACGTGGCAACGCGTAGACGCACCGTGTGGAGCTGATCCAGTGCTGACTTACGTCAGTAAAACAGCGTGGTCAATCTGTTTATAGCTTTCTTTTCTCTTTTTTTCCCAGCTGGCTCACAGGAAGGCGTCCGGAGTTCACCGACCCAAGGGTGGTTGCCCAGGGAGAAGGACGAGAAGGTAAATGATCGGGAGTTTCAGTCCCTGCTTCCTGTGTGCCGGTATTGGCCTTTCTTTTGTTTGCCAAAACTTCACGAGTGAATTGAGCGTGGTGAGAACAGCTCCATGCAGGTATTCTGGGGGGGCTGTAATGACTCTTCAGTGCGCTCTGCTGGCTAACGTTGTGTCCTCCTATTTCCAGTGACCAGGGTGCGTTCCCAAGGCTTTGTGACCATTTCCTTCAACGTGGTGACTAAAGACATGAAGAAGTTAGGTTACGATGTAAGCCTGAGTGACATGCAGAACCCTTCCCTAATGTCTCTGACCGAGGGGATTCATAAATATTAAAGTAGACAGGAGCTTTCCCAAGGCACGAACGGGAGTGACTGCCCACGCTGACTTCTGTTCTTCCGCTGGAATTGAATGACTTCCTGTTCTTAGAAAGTTTTGCCTGGAGCTCTACTTTCCGAATAAACTCCAGCCGGTTTGGCCTCTGTATGATATTATATCGCACGTACGTACAAAACGCAGTGCAGCGTGTTAAGCATACAGGGTTTTTGAAAATGTGTATGAATCCTAATGCTGTTGGATTAGTAAATGGTTATCGTTTTAAGATATTGTAAGCAGTTTCAAGACACACGGTGCATAACAAAACACTTTTTGTAAAAGAACCTTTTGTACATTTTTATTTACTTACAGAATTGCATGTTTTTACACTGTTAAATGTTTTCCTCATACTCAGAACATTAGCATGAACCCGAAGCCATTTACTAATGCTTTTATAATAGTCGTGTGAAATCCAAATTGAAATACCTTCAAAAGAAAGGGAGCCTGAGAATGTTTAATGAAACAGTCATGCTCTTTCCTCTACCACGGCAGTGTTTCTTGTTTGTGCAGCTATTGCAGGTTTCCATTATAATCCCATTTCAGTGCTTTAGAAGTTGCCTGTGACTAAGATGTTGAATAAACTGTAAAAGTAAATCCTCCCAAAATTATCAGCAAGAGCAATTTGGCTTTTGCTTTTAAAACAAGTACTGGGCACGCATGGACACATGCACATACTGCTTTCCCATTTCCAGATTTTTTTACATTGCTTTCCCATTTCCAGATTTTTTTCCCCCAATCAAGCCCAAAGCAAATCCTAAGTGGTTCATTTTCGGGGGGGAAATAATTCACTGTGTTCAGCGTGTCCTTGCTGCAAGCTCTTCAGTCTCATTTACGTGCAGCGAGGGTGAGGATCTGGGAAAAGGCAAATACAGTCCAAGCACACAGGATATGGGCACAGCCACAAGCAGTGGGCACTCCTCTACCCCAAAGGGCAGTAGCTGCCGCAGGGGTAGCTGTCAGGCCACATCTCTCTCCCCGCGTGTCCATTTGAAGTCTGCGCTCTGTCCAGTTCTGCCAAAGACATTTCTCCCGTCGGCCCAGCTCTACAAAGCAATAACTCTCGGATGATGGCCCCGGGCCTCTGCCGATGCAGCACCTGCAATACCTCATTCTACCGCCTGGGCAAGATCAACCGACAGAAGAGGGGCTTTGACAGAGGTGTATTTGTTTACCCTGGAATTACACCGTGGCTTCCTGTACTTGGCCCGCACGGTAAAGAGAATAATCAAACCGCACTGAATTTGACAGGCAGGCTTTTCTCCGCTCCTTAATTCTCTCCCTGGGGTTGGGCAGTGCTTGTTCAGCTCATCACAGTGACTGCTCCCTGGGCTCAGGGGTCTGCAGTATGAGGGTGCTGAAAATGACCTTCGTTTTGCAGAGCTTCTCTTGATGCCGTCTCCTGATGCTTTTCGATGAGTCCTGTTGTAAGCCAGGACTAGTGATCTCTGCCTTTGGAGTGAAAAAAACCAAGTACAAACATTTCTCTCTGTGTCCTCTGTGCTGCTTTTTCTGTCTCGGGGAAACGTGTTAATCCAAGATCATCTTGTGCCCTTTGTACCTGAGGTGAGTGTGTAAAATCTACTGTGAGACAATGTAGTCAGTTTGAGAGTAAATTCTGGGCATGCAGATTTGCAAAGTTTGGTCTCAAAAGCTAGAAGACCAGATTTAACGTGATCCCTGTCCCTTATGGAAATCAGAGACACATTAAAAAAACAGCACAAACAAAAAGTACTGGGCATTCGGCGTACGTACGTATTATACAAAGAGCATTGCTGGTAGGACTCTAGTTCCTCATGCTATAGAGCAGTCCACATGAACACTTTATTTGGAAATATAGTTTGCAAAGCTAATATAAAGCATTTTGGAATTTTTTTCTGTTCCCTAGTATGTTTTGTATGGCCAATGAATGGTTTTATAAAGTGCGTTCTCCATAAATTACTTTTTCATACATTAATTCTTGGTCTTTTTCTTCCTTTTCATCCACTCTGTATGATTTAATGAACGTGTTCTACCTGGTGCTTTGGCTACACCATACTGCCCCTTCTCCGTGACTAATTAGTTCAGGCACCATCCTTTCATCCCAGCCAACGGGAGAGGGATTTTTTTTTCTTCTTGTAAAGAATAATTGGGAGAGATTTGGTTACAGTGGTAATAATGGCTGTACCGCTGCCGAAGTAGACGAGATCTGACATACGTGAAAAGCAGAGTTAAATAACGTAGAACAGCTCAAATGCAACACGCTGGAGATTTTTACTCGTCTGGGATGATTTAACCTCAGTTCAAATGAGAGCAAAGCAGCATGACGGTTATCCCGTGCACAAAAATCTACGAAACTATGATTAAAACCTAAACTTTACTCTCGGAGACATGCGGTGATTTTATGCAGAAATAGCTTTTATTGTGTGGTGCTGATACACAAGCCTTTACATGATGCTTGCCCGCTCTAACGCAGTAGTTTGATGTTGGCTGTTTGTGCATTCGTTGGTTCTTCTTCCTCCGTCTTTTCTGTTCTTCTTCAGGGTGCCTCCATTTCCAAGACATAGAACGCTTTCCCCATTTGGCCCCACAGACCCTATATAAATGGGATGTCACTGAATGACATAACTCTCAATGCTGGCAACACTCAGGCATTAGGAGCTCTAAACTGGAATAGATTTAATCTTTATTCCACAGATATTTAAAAGAAAACAGCTGCAAATACCTTCGAGACAAAGCGTGTGGATCCGTATATTCATAGATAGTAAGGGGCTGGAAGGGACCTTGCAAGATCATCAGGTACCATAGGTGACAGGGGTTTGACCTGGCCCCATTTTTGTCCGTTACCTGGGTCCCTTTTGCCTACCAGGGACTCTGGGCATCCTGGGTGGTGTGTTTAAGATGGTCCCACTTCCTTCGGGATGCTCATTGTGCATGTCCGTCTTTCAGTCATCTCCCAGCACCGTCTAGCACGGTTCACCTATTACACCGCACCGCGTGTGCTTCTCGTGCTAGGCAAGCAGCAAACACCAGTGCTGTTCTTGGAGGATTTGCCAGCAGGCTGCCGCTGTCACGCCTTCATCTGCCACGAAGGGTCACTGTTGAGGTACGTAATCAGCACATCCTTTTTCCAGGGAAGGGCTTGCTCTTGCCTCCACACGAACGGAAAACAAGTGCAGCTGTGTGTACGCCCATAGCAGACCTAAAGCAAGAGTCCCCTGCCTTTTCAGGCAGTTGTCTATCAAAAAAAAATCTCCCGTTCCCGTTCGCATACCCATGCACGTGCTCCGTAAGACATACGTAAAAACAAAATTCAAACACTCGGTGGGGTTGCCCACATAAAAAAGCAGAACAGACCTGGGTATCCCAAGGCCCTGCCGCTGCAACAGCAGAGAAGTCTTGAGGAAGTTGAGCGCGGTGACGGGGGTACAGCCATATTCCCTTACAAAAAAGGGAGCAAACCTACATGCGTACCCCCTGCATGGCTGCGGTGATAACGCAGCGAGGAGGGGACCACGCTGTCACACCCAGCAGGGAGGAGGGTGACCGATCGAGCCCTAGAAACCAAATCCTTAATAACGAAGGTAGTGGTAGCTTCTGAGAAACCTTGCTGCTCTCAGGTTTGCATCTACTGCATTGAAAGGATTCGTATTATATATAGCCCTAATTTAGAAGCCCTCTGGCATGCTTTCCTGCTCTGCACACCCCTGGGACCTGTAACAAGCTCCCTGGCTTTATTTATTGGATAATTTTCCCTTTTCCCACAAACCTTTTCCTACCCACTCCTGCCACAAGGTTTCCCATGTGGCTCAACTGTGGCAATAACCCCAAGCATGTTATTGGGTTACATATTATAGGGAAATCTCTTCCAGCCAGCCAGATGGTTGACCTTAAGCCAAATGCTTGTGCCCATCCAAAACCGTGACATTTATAACACGTATGTCATCACCAACAAAGGGAGCAGCATCAGAAGAACACATTCTCCTTAAACTGAATGATTCGGCTTCCGTTCACAAAAAAATACCACCAAGATGATGGAAATCAGAGGCAAATAAGGGCCGTGTCGTCATTTAGATGTTCTCTTCCCAGGCAGCAGCCTTCCCGGCAATGAACCCATGCATGCTCAGTCAAATCAAGTGCAAGAAGTTCAGGCGATGGATGGGGCTTCCACCGCATTCCTTATTAAAATCTCCCACCATCTCGAAGCTCCTCGCTGGTAGGAACTCTTCAGCCTAAGTAGTCTCGTTCTTAAATTCACCCTCGTACCCCTAGTTGTGTCCCGCGTGAGCCAGTCACCACCATACTTCTCCCCCACAAAAAGGCCTACAATCTTGCAGTGTGCTCTCTGCAGCTTGATCGCGGTTCTGCTGAGTTTAAGCCCGGCCGCTTTAAGGAACCGAGACCGTGAGATAGTTGTCAGTATTGTGAGAGTACATCAAGCTCAGCGAGGTCTCCTGATGTGGCCCCGAATTTAGTTTCACGGAGGGACTGACTTTCCCGGCGGAGCGTCTCTTGCCTCTCCTGACCGGGCGCCCGGGGCAAATGGCCTTGACCAGGTTTCTTTGGAAAGTGTCACTCAGCACGATGTAGATGAATGGGTTGATGCAGCTGCTTGCATAACCGAGGCTGATGGCGACGTTGTAGGCGTAGAGAAAGGCAGTGGTGGGCTGGGGGACTCTGAGATGCACCAGCTGCAGTATATAATAGGGTGCCCAGCATGACTTTGAGATGAACCAGCTGCAGTATATAATAGGGTGCCCAGCACACAAAAAATGCGGAGCAGATGGTCACCGCGATCCGCGTGATTTTCTTAGTCCTGGCCCTGAAGTCCCTCTGGGGCAGTGGTAACACCACGCATGAAATGTGCTTCTGTATCTTCAGGTACACGATACAGATGACCAAGAGAGGAATGATGAACGCCAGGAAGAACTGATACAGCGTGTACCAGTAGATATCCACCGAGAGGTTGGGCAAGATGATGCCGCACCCCGCTTTGCTGCCTGGCAGGGCAATGGGCTGGCTGTACATGAACACCGGCACGCTGGTTAGCAGAGACAGGAGATAGAGCAGCAAGATCACCACCGCAGCCATGCAGGGGGTACGCACGTAGGCAGAGCGGATGGGGTGCACCGTGGCCAGGTAGCGGTCGATGGACATGGCCGTGAGGATGTAAGTACTAGCAAACTGGCTGTTGGCATCTAAGGCTGTGATGATGGTGCACATGGTAGCCCCGAAAAGCCAGACGCCGTTCCCAAGGAGCTGGTGGATGAGGAAGGGCATTCCCAGCAGGAAGAGGAGATCGGTGATGGAGAGGCTCACGATGAAGACATCTGCCGTGTTGCGGTTCCTCTTGGGCTTTCTGGTGATGGTGTAGATCACGATGCAGTTCCCTACGGTGCCCACGAGGCAAATGATGCCAAAAATGACGGGGAGGACGACGCTGCTGTGCTCTTCCATCTCGCCGGTGCCTGCAGAAGCAAAGAACGACATGATGGTAAGTATAGTCACTTGGACACGAGCCTCTTGAGGCAGGGAAGGAAGGAGCTTGAGCCGTTCCTCTGCGGCACTGCTTCTCGCCCATCCTTAATTAATCAAGAACAAAGCTCAACTTCCACTTGAGAAATCAAACCCAGAGTGATGCTGGAAAACCTTTAATTAACCCGCTACTCATTTTTGTAGCGCTCTCTCCAATCCCCGGCCCGGAAGCAGATGCACGAGGTATTCTTCACCTCTGTTATTTTCTACCCTACGTTTGAGACTTGCAAGAGCAATCAGGCAGCGCTCTCGGTTGCTCCTACACGGAATAAGGGAAGAAGTCGTGATGATCCTCTGACTATTGCTGTGATATGAACAGGGACAGCTGCTTGGCCGGCAAAACCATGTTTGCACACAGGCAATGACACCCTAATGTTGCCTAGGAAAATTTCTCAGAGGCTGAGGATAGCTACTCTCCCAAGGGTGTCATTAGCAGAGGAGAATAGCGAAGGCCATCCCCGCACAGAGCCAACCTTCAATCTTTCTTCTTGGCTGGTAGTCGGCAGCCTCGGCCATTGGATTTCCACCCGTTCCCCCCCCAGCGTATGAGCTGGGGCTGAGCTGATGCACAGCCAGCCTCCTGCACGCTTTGTAAGACCCTGAGTAAGGGGCTAATTGGACGCTCCAGTGGAAAGTCAGCCTTGAAAGGTGAACTGCTGCGGAAAGCCAAAAGTTCAGGTTAATCAAAATAAAACAGGCTTGTTCTGGCGGACGCTGCTTGTATCTGCAGCCTGTCACGCCTTGTACAAACAGCGCTTCCTGCTCATCCGCCGGCGGCAGGAGGACCATTTGCACTACTTCTGGCACGTGTTCCCACGGGTGTGCAAAGGGCTGCTCTGGCTGCTACCAGAAAGAGCAACCCTGACTTTGATGGGAGGAGGGCTAGGCTCTGTTAGCTCTCTCCGATAATCATCTACAGTAAACAGCGCGATGATCCATCGAATACATTTTACAGCGTTCACATTTAAGCAGCCAGCTATGATGCACCATTGCCTTCAAACGGATTCAAGACCAGCACAAAAGAAACGTATCTGTTTCTCCTTTTCAGGAGCAGGAGACGATTGTCAAATATTCCTTTTAAAAAAAAAAACACGGAAGAAAAAGGAAATGATGGTTTCTTTAAGTAAAACAATCTTCCTTTCATGTGACCTCCTGAATTGGGCAGATGAGTGCCATGCAATGCATGAGAAAGGGAAGCCAAGCAAAAGAAATGAAGAAACTCAGAGTTGCTGCCAAACTATGGGAGAGGGGGTTTTAAGAAGCAGGAAAGCCTGAGCTAACGAGTTAGTGCTTTTCTGGCTGCTAATTTATGCAGCGTGCTCGAAATGAGTGTTCAGAGGGACACGAATCAAGGTGTTGGCGCTGAGCTGACCCTCGCGGCCACGGCTTGACTCATGTGCGACGGGCCGCGGGCACGTTACGTCCTTTTGTGCTGGCGGAGGGTTGTTCCCGTGACGTGGCACCAGCGATGCACGTAAGACTCTCTCCCCGCATTCAGGTGACGGAGAGGCCCACCATGCCGTGTGAGTCACCGCATAAAAAGACCGGGTCTAAACCCATCGAAGTTCGCGCGGATGCAGCAGTGGTTTGGGCTCCACGGGACAACCCGACGCTGCGAGCCTCGCAGAAAGCCGGGCAGGTGGGAGGCCAGCTCTTGTGTCCTGCAACTCAGGGGTTTTTCCCAGCGGGTTTCAATGCCCGCCAGAGCTTTCCAAAGCAAGCCCTGACCCCTGCTTCCCAACACTGTCTGCCGTCATCCTGAAGCATGCCATTAACTCAGTGCTTCTGCCTGAGCTGAAACAACGACTGAGCCTGGAACGATGACTGGAAATCAATTGGCAGATCATTAGCAGCAGCACTTGTGCTTTCGAGCTGCGTTTTGACCATTAGCTCCCTGGCAGACGGAGGGGAAAACAACGCATGTGTCCATACCTTTTTATTAAAGTGCAGTTTAAAGACAGGGAACATTAACCCTTTATGTGAGGCGCGCTAGAGACAGCACGGAGAACACCTGCTCCGCGGTTGGCACGTGGGTAACCTCGCGGCCCGCCCTTCTCAGCCCCCACGCGGGGAAAGTGAGGCCCCGGGGAATGAAGGGACATGTTTGTTCAAATGCGGCTCTTAAAATCAAGCGCTAGACACTGACACTGAGCACCCAAAAACTGAAGGACCCCAAATTTTGAACGTTTGGACCTGAATGACTTGCCTAAGCTCACCCTGCAAGTAGGAGGCACAAAGGAGCTTGCGCATCCTGCTTTCCCATCCAGACAGAGAGAGGAGGACAGTCCTGGCCTCGTGTGCCAAACCCGAATGCGGGGGCCGTTTCACGACCTGCCCTCAGCACTTCAAACTCAAGGATCCCTTTGCTAGGCAGTGGGAACGGCACTTCAATTTTAAAGACTAGCTGCATTGCCTTTACATCGTGTAGCCACGGCGCTCTGTGCCCCCGTTGGCCCTGGAGAGCCCTCTCGCAGGGGAGGAAGAGCCTTAATTTGCTGCAGCGGTCGACGCAAGGCTGCGGCACACAGCTCACCGTCTCCCTCATGGACCCATTGTTGGTTCGTCACTCCCAGACAGGGTTGGGAGAGCAGAGCCGGCGGTCTCTTTAACTCCCTCTGGCCTGCATTTGTTGGTAGATCCGGCTGCCCCCGACTGCTGATTTGCATCATTCATCCCCAGTTTAGGGAGGGGAGCAGCATGGCTCACCAGGCACGTGCAGCCCCGTTTTAAGAGAGCTGTGAACCCAGTGGTATTCTCCATCTGTACACCTGGCCCCAAGCCAGCGTGTGGGCAGCATCCCCCGTGTCTCTGGGTCGGGGGCTCTGCAGGGACTCACCCCTGGCTGTGGCAATCGCAAGGGACTGTGAATGCAGGCAGGGACTCCTCCAAGATGAAATCAAATCCCATCGACTGTCTCGGCCCCTCCCCGCCCTACCTTGGGGGAGCTCGGGCCTGGCGGCATCGCTGCAGGACACATGCATGCACGGAGCCTATGCAACGGGTGTTTTCATCGTCGGCCCGCTCAGCAAAGCCAGGGCGGCAAACCTCACGCTCCGCACCCGTGGCAGGGCGTGCTCGGGGTGGCCGCCCGCTGCTTGCGGTACAGTTTTTTGCCCTGCTAATGTAATCGCGTCGCTGTTGCAGAGCAGAATAATTTCAGGGCCCGGTTACGTACGAGCCCCAATTGTGTCACCAGGAAAGCAGCGTGAAGTGGGACGCCCTGCGCGCCGCGTCAGAGGAACAATCCCCAAACACACTCGGTCTTGCCCTGGCAGCATTGCACTTGCACGTACCACCCGCCTTCAAATCGCCGATCCCTCGGGCACTGCTTAATGACTCACGGGGGCCGGGATGAGCCCTGGGTGGACTGTTCCCCACCAGAGCCCCTTCCCCTCCTAGCCTAACCTCAATGCTGTTGTGAGACCTCAGCGGTCCATGCAGGACTGATGTCAGCCAGGAGCAGGCTGAGATTTCACCTCTTCAGCTACATGAGTCCAAAGCCCCCTGAAGTCATTAGCAAATCTCCTGACGACTTTAATGAGCCCTGGCTCAGGCCAGGGAGGGAAAAGCTGCACTTATTGGGCTACACAGACTCAGTGACCAGTACTTCAGAGCATCCTATGGGCAGCTCTACAGGTGGCTCTAAAACAAGCTCAGGGTGGGAGTAACAAGGCTGAGGGGCTTTGCAGTGGAGAAGCAGGTGATATCCCTTACCCCAGACACACGACACCCGGAAAAGCCACCTGGGCTGCAGCTGCTCGAGCTTCCCAGCACTCGAAGGGCCAAGAGCTCAATGCACCAGGGAGCACGGGCACCGCGGTGCTCTCTGCCAGCCCCTCTTGCCCTCCCCAAGACAGCTTCAAAGGAGCAACCTCAGAGACCCGGTCCAGCCCGGCTGCAGCAGCGCAGCCCTCCGCGCAAGCCATAAAACCTTCCTGCAACACAGGGCAAGTGCTTGGGCAGTTACCCCAAGCCAAACCCTGCGCTCTCGGGGCTCGAGCCAGCTTTAAGATGCCTACTCCACTTCGTAGGCAAACATCTGCAGTGCAGACATGCCTAGCAGTGGGTGCTGGCGAGCCCCTTGCAGCCAGAAACTCTCCCCCCGGAGGCAGACCCTTATGTTATCCCTCCCTCTCCAGGCCTGGCCAGAGACCCCCACACCTTTCCTCACCCACCTGGGATGTGAGAGACCCAGGATCACGGCTTCTGTCTGCGTGAGAGACTTGTCCCCCAGCTCCTAGGCCCTCCGTCTTTGGGGCTGGGTGGTCTCAGTCTGTCGTGCGGCAGCTGCTGCACTTGGTGGGAAGCAACGAACTCGTCCTTGGGCCCCGCTGTAACAGAAGTAAAGTGAAAGAGCAGCACGCTAGCCCGGAGCCTGCCCCGGCACACCACACCGGCGTCTGGAGATGGGACCGGGAAGAGAAAGAAGCAGAGAGCGGAAGGGAGACACGTTACCTGCTGCAAGCACCACTGTCACGGGGAGATCATTCAGGCCCTCCCCCAGCTTGCTGAGACACGGCTCTGGGGCACGGTCATCTCCATGGGACACGCAGCAGCTGCCGCGGCTGTTACCGGAGCATCCAGCGTAGGAAAAACAACTTTCTAAAAACCCAGCGGAGCGAACAGGAGCTCCATGCACTGCTGCAACCGGGTGCTCGGCCTTTCTTCTGCAGCTCAGCGAGCTGCTTTGAGCCCACCGATGACCCTAAACATCTTTCCAGTGATTATAACTCGCTATTCTGCAGCATAGCACAGATAGTCATGCACGGCAGAGCTCACAAAATGCTCACAGAGGGAGAAGGAGAGGAACAACGACTGACGGGGAAACCAAAAGCCACAACAAACTCATTGCACCGCAGTCTCTCGCATGCAGGTCTCTCCGCACAAAGCGATGCTTTCATTTAAAAAAATAGGAATAACCAAAACGGCTTGACATGCAATGGTCAGGAAGTATTTGGTACGGAGCAGGCTGCGGGGTGGGGAGCAGCATCGGTGTGTGCATGGGGCGTAGGTCATCGTCGCCTAACCAGACCACACATCATTGCACGGGCCATGTCATGCTGAACTGTGATCGCAGGTTGTGGTGCAGCGAGTGGCATGCATGTCCTGGTTCCCATGGGTGATGACACAGGATGCATGTCAGTTTGCATGGATGATGACATGGGATGCATGTCCTGGTTCTCACGGGTAATGAGTGACAGGATGCATGTCACAGGTCTCATGAGTGATGACACGGGATGCATGTCGCAGGTCTCATGGATGATGACATGGGATGCATGTCACGGTTCTTCCGAGTGGTGACACGGGATGTATGTCACCGTTCTCACAGGTGGTGAAATGGGATGCATGTTACGGTTCGCATGGGTGATGACACGGGAATGCATGTCGCATGGGATGCCATGTCACAGTTGTCAGAGGCGATGACACAGGATGCATGCTGCCGTTCTCATGGGTAGTGGCATGGGATGCATGTTGCAGCTCTCCAGGGTACTGACATAGGGTGCGTGTCGCAGGTCTCACGGGTGACGGCACAGGATGCATGCTGCCGTTCTCATGGGTGACGATGACATCATGGTTCACAGGGGTGACGTGGGATGCATGTCATGCTCAACAACAGGCACAAGACACACCGAGACAGGGTCAAGCAGCTCCCAGGCCCGGCGCCACGCGGGAGAAGCCCTCGCGAACAGTGGAGAGAAAGTCCTCACCTGCTAAGAAAAGAAAGAAAGGAGCAGTACCTGCAAAGCCGGCCTCAGCAGCCCCCAGTGCCGCTCCCCTCCTGCCCGGTGCCTGGCGCGTCTGGCTGCTGAACGGAGCCGCTTGCAGAGCTCGACCGCGCTGCGTGGAGCACGGGCAGCCAGTAACGAGCAAGATCAGCTTGAGCGATGCGAGCTCCGAACAAGAGACTTCCCCTGCTAGGCTGGCGGCTCGCTCGGCTCAGGTAACGCGCTTCACCTCGAAGCACAAGTCGCTCCTCAGAGAGCAGCGAAGGACTGACACGCTCTGCACAGTCGTCACTGCTCTCGCCTGCCGCAGCCGTGCATCAAGCTACAGGTGGGAGCTGCACCCGGCTCCCAAAGACAGGGAGTTGGTGCAGCTGGAGCGGGGGACACCGCCTTCCCCCGGGTGGGTCCCACAGCACCCATGCCCCCATGCCGGGCACTTCACGGTGGCGGGATGATGGATAGGCAGCCCCCGCCAGGGAGGGGCCAACATGAATGAGGACAGCACGAATGTAGACCACTCGGGGGGGGGGGGGCACCCCAAGTGCCATGAATTAGCCCTGCACTTTCTGAGTCCTGCCACGATCCCTTCCCTGGGCTCTGCTTTCTGCTCCCTGCCCTGTGCCATGCACAGGGGCTGCCTCTGCCCCTTGCCGCAGGTCGGGCACCCCTGCCGCAGCACGCGGTCAGACGGCTCGGACACCGCACTGCAGGAGAGACCCCTGCAACGCACCCCCGGGCTCCGGCCCTGCGGATCATTTCTGAATCTACTTGGCTGGGCCCAGAGGCTGCGCTGCAAGGGCCGCGGACACAGCGGGATGCAGGCATCACTGTACCCGCGTGCCCTGACTGGGGTTCACCGGCATCAGAGTAAAAGAGGGATGCAACGTACCCCTGGGAGGGAGGGAAGGAGCCCTCTGAGCAGCTGCTTCCCAAACCCCGAGGCCGTAGGGCTCCCCAAGCAGAGCTGTGCCAAGCTCACCGGGCAAGGCTGTTTGCTGGACGCTAGCACGTGAGAACGGAGACGTGGGCTCCAGCCCCTGCTCTGAAGCCAGAGGGTCTAAAGAAGACTCTCCCTCTGCCTCAAGAAGGGGGTTTGCACCCAAAAGCTTGCAAAGAACAATTTTTCCAACTATTTAATTGGTCTAATAAAAGACATCACATTTGCCCCATGCAAGGGTGCGAACAGCTGGATTCTTGGGCTGGGCTATGCACAGCATGTTGGGGGGCAGGGGCCCGGCTGTTTGGGGTGCCCCGAGCACTGCGTGACCCTCCGGCCCTTCTCTAGGGAGCCGTAAGTTTAAACTTTCCAGCTTCCCACTCAGCCACCAGCCTGCATGGCTGCCACTGAGCCGGACGCCACGTGCCAGGGGAACAGCGCCTGGCCCAGGCCATTAGCGTGGCTGGGAGCCTCCTCAGGGCACCGCTGGAGCCTCGAGGGCCAGGCTGGCATCGTCCGAGCCAGGCGCTGCGCCCAGCTCTCCGTTGCAAGGTCAAGGCCCGAGGACGCATCTCACCTGCAGGTGCCACAGCACAGGGACGCGGCAGCCCCTTCTGAAAGCAGCTCGCAAAGCGGCCCAGCTGTGGCAGGGCAGGGTTCACGAGAGCGAACGCCCATGTGCTCGCTTGGCGTCTGGGGCTTTGCTGAGCCCCTGCCACGTGCCAGCTCGCTCAGAGCCACGCCACGCGGCAGCAAGGGCCCCAGATCCATCTTTGCCCCCGCACCCTGCAGCCTGGATGCCAGGAGCCCAGAGCACCCCCAACGAGAGGCTGTTCACGGGGGCACAGAGCCATGCAGCTTGGCCCAAGGCACAAGGTGTGGGTGCAGGTTTTAGGGGGTCATTTCAGGGCTGACTTTAGCCAGCGTTCCCAGTGAGGCCCTGGTGGGTTTGTCCCTGCCCCAGGGCAGGTGAAAACCAGCAAAGCCATCAGGGTTTGACCTCCCTCATCCCCTTCATCCCCAAACGAGCCCCAGGAGAAGTGCAGCAGGACTCCAGGTGTCTGAAGCACTTGGGAGAGCCTCCGGAAATGGGGAGTGCGGATCAAAGGGAACACGAACATGAGACGGGCGCCTTGCCCTTCGCTCCTGCAAGCCCCCCGTGCGATGCGTCCGTGATGGGACACACGTACATGACGTGCGATGCATCCGTGATGGGACACGCATCAACGACATGCAATGTGTCCGTGATGGGATACATGTCCGTGACGTGCGATGCATCCATGATGGGACACGCGATGTGTCCGTGATGGGATACATGTCCATGACGTGTGATGCGCCCATGATGGGACATGCAATGTGTCCATGATGGGCCACGTGTCCATGACGTGCAATGCCTCCATGATGAAACAAACCCAAAGCCAGGCCACGAGCCAAACATGGGGCATTCCCCTGCATGGGGGGGGAAATGCAGCTTGGGATGGCAGGGGAGCCACATCAATAGAAACCAGGCAGGTGCTCCAGCCACAGTAGTAGTTAGCACATGCTAGCACCATGTGGCCACAAAGGAGACAGGAGCACGGGCGTGCAAGGCGTGCACACATCTATAGTGAGATCACCCTAATCCAAACTCTGACAGGCTAAGCAAAGGGTCAGCGCAGGGAAGGCCCAGCAAGAAGTGACTTGCCCAAGGTCCTACAGCAGGTCAGTGGCAGAGCCCAGGGACAGTCACCGATGCACATCTGGCACGTAGAGAGCCCAGGACGCCTCCAGCACCAGAGACCCAAGCCTGCCTGCACTCAGCGTCCTTCTATTGAAGGCCTTTCTTTCATGATGGGGTCTGCAGGACCAAAGGATTTCATCCCCCACCCCCGGCCCTCCCTCCACCTGGCCGGGCGGATGCCAGACGCCAGCAGTCTGTGCACGAGCTATGCAGCGGCTGCCCCCTGCGCTGCAGCCCCAGGCACCATGTGCACGCCAGCACTGTCGCATGCACGCCCTGGAGACCCATCGCCACACCAGCGCCTCTGCTATTGCCATGACTACTGAGCCCCGGAGGCACAGAGGTAATAAAGCTGGGCGCAGGTAGACACTCGGAGCACGTGGAGACCAGCGCCGGAGCTGGCAGACAGCCCAGCAACGCGCGGCCGCCGCGGCACTGAGAGCACAGCGCGCCGGGCCCAGCCGACGAATAAGTGACGGAGCATCTTATCAGCACGATTAGAGCGGAGCCGGGGACGCGGGCCAGACCCACCGGGCTGGATGGCTGCAGGCGGCTCAGGAGGGAGACCCCCCTCAGCCAAGTCAGCTGCAGGCCAGAGCCGCTGGAGCAGAGCGTCCCCACACGGGCAGCGCGGAGCCTAGGACACTGCTGAGCTATATGCCGAAAAACCCACCGCTATATGGGCCCATTGCAGGGTGACCCCATCCCATCCCTGCTCCCTTGGGCCAGCCAGCGTGCCCCAGTGCCCCCTCTCCCCGTCCCCGCCATGTGCTCTGCAACGGCTTCCCGCTGAAATGGCTCTTCATCCCATTAAAGGCTGCTCATCCCTAGCAACCCCGTTGCCATGGCAAAGAGGATACGGAGGGGGCTGCGTGCTGCTCTCCATGCAGCCGGCGCCGGGGGCTGCCGCGGCGATAAGCAGGCATGGGAGGAGACGGGGATTGGGGCCGTGCCCCCAGTCCACCCCCATGCTGGAGGAGCTGGGGGGCAACTGGCAGAGTCCTGGGCTGCAAGGGGAGCGCGGTGCCACGCGGCAGGTGTGCCCGGTGCTGGGCTGGTGGTGATGTGCACGGCTCCTTGCTTTTCCCTGCACCCTGCCTCTCTCCGGTCACCCTCCCAGGCCTTCTCCCACGATCA